GGGTAGTAATGGAAATGTTAATTAGTGACAAAATGCACAAGGTGGCAGGATCCAGCTTACAAAGAGGTGAAAATAGCTCAAGGAGAATAAACAGGACTAGAATCTGATACTCCACAGGGTATATTATAGTTTCCCATTGAAACATAAAATTTCTCTTTATAACCACCCAATTTTTATCAAAGATAATCAAGGTAAGACTTTTTGTTTGCAAAACAAGTCTAGTCTCATCAAACCCGGCTTGATTATGTCAGTACAACAAGAATAGTAATTGATGACATAGGCCTTTTGAACTTTAAGAATCCCAGATTGTACTTTTAAAAGCCTCAAGGCTAGGAATCCAAGCCAAGAGCTTGGCATCAGACTTATCTTGCATTCCTACAGATTTGGATGAAGTCCTCCTTTTCCAGGTCCCCAAAATATCCTAAGCTTCCTGGGCTTGCCAGGAAGCAGCCTTCCTTACTCACCTGTAAGACTGGGACCCCTTTAAACCAGGTACTAGGCCAGTTTTTCAGGAGGGCTTTGTCTTAAGGAGGGTTTCCTTAAAGTCAGCCTTTGTTCCTTAAAACTGCACATCATCCTCAAATACGACATTCTAGTCAAAGCCTTGGTAATATAACCAGTGTTTCCAATTGTGTCATGTTATAAGGAGAACAAATTCTTATTGAACTTATTCAAATACCTATATTGCCATGAAAATAAATATTCAATAAGAATGTTTTCAAAATTTTGGAGAGTTCAAGCAGGGAGAAAAGATAAATATTTCATTTTTGCTTGCAAAGATATAATCTAGTAAATTGCTGTAAGTTATGGATAGCTTAAGAGAAAAGGGTTCCTTAAATCCAGAAAATAGAACATTAAAGAGCCAGCAGTATTCCAAGCAAAAGTCATAGAAGGAATTGTAATCATTCTTTTTCAGTCTGTTCAGCCCCATATGATAAATTCAAGTCTTTCTTGATTTGACTTAGCAATTTTATGAAACCATGAGCTTCTCCATTAGTTCTGGAAATCCTTATTCAGTCCAATGCTATGATCTTAAAGTTATGTAAGTAATGACCCTGGAAGCCTGTACCTCAGGACCTGTTGTAGTCTTTTCCATCAATCTCTGAGAATTTGTTGTTGAAGATGAAGCCTGTAGCTGATTACACTAGTTTTCAGGAAAGCATCAAAGCAAAACAATACCTCTGAATAACAAAGGGCTCAAAATG